GACTTCAAGCCATATCACCAAGGTCATTTGAAGGTCAAAGGCGTATTTTATAGGCTAAATACTATATATTCATAAGATAATGTTTGAATTCATCAAAAATTAATATGAAACGATATGAGTATCAACCAGCGACTCTACGTTCTTGCCTCAATATATATATACAGGGTGGGCCATTAGTGTGAGAAAGTACACTAACTCCCTTGTTACTTATAATACTGAAAAAATGTTTATATAAAAGTTGTACAGAATCAAGAAACCTAAACTACAAAATTAATTTCAAACATACAGGGCGATGAGTAAAAACGGGACACGCCAAACATTACATTTTTTAAATGGAACACCCTGTATATTTGTAAACAGTTGGATTTCTAAGAAAATTCTATATATGGCAATATAAACAGTTTATCATTTTAGTGCGGGGTTACCAAGTTATGTAGAAAATTCTTAGAATTTTTGGAAAAAACATGACCTCGAAGAAGTTGTATTTACTTTCAACTACGAACACTTGGAGCAAAAATATTTGACAGAGTTATAGACAAATGTTATACAAATGCTCCTATATTAGCTAATATCGATATTTTGTACAGGGCATTTTTTTATAAGATGATAATGTTTAGAAAGTTCAAACTTGATTTTCTAAAATTTTTCAAATGGAACACGCTATATTTTATAGTTTTATTTTATTCGCATATCACTCCGCTTCAACTTTTATTAAGCATGTTCTATACCTAAAATTGTTAGTTTTTAAGATATGGCAACATTTCCAAAATATACGGGGTGTTCCATTTAAAAAATGTAATGTTTGGCGTGTCCCGTTTTTACTCATCGCCCTGTATGTTTGAAATTAATTTTATAGTTCAGGTTTCTTGATTTTGTACAACTTTTATATAAACTTTTTTTCTGTATTATAAGTAACAAGGGAGTTAGTGTACTTTCTCACACTAATGGCCCACCCTGTATGTATATATATAATCAGTTTGACCGTGACTATTATTTCATATGGCCAACGTTCGTTATTATCGCATGCTGTCTAGATGCTAGGTGGCCACAATTTTTGCTGACACTACATTTATAAAGGAAATAATATATCAGGTTACAGTTTATACAAAAAGCAAGTCTGAACCTGTAGAAAACAGGTCTGAACCAGTAGAGAACAAGCCTTAAATTGAGGTGACCTTGACCTCAGACGACCAGAGGTCGATGACCTTGAGATGACCTGGACCCCCTGCGACCAGAGGTCGATAACCTTGACATGACCTTGACCCCCTACTACCAGAAGTCGGTCACCTTGGCATGACCTTGGCCCCAGGCGACCAGAGCTTATGACCTTGACTTGACCTTTACATTGACGTGACCTTGACCCCAGACGACCAGATGTCGATGACCTTTACATGACCTTGGCCCCAGACGACCAGAGGTCGATGCCCTTGACTTGACCTTGACCCCAGACGACCAGAGGTCGATTACCTTGACATGACCTTGACCACAGGCGACCAGAGGCCGAGAAAGTAGTTAGCCGGTTGTTAGCCGTTGGTAGCCGGTTGTTAGCCGGTTGTTAGCCATTGGTAGCCGGTTGTTAGCTGGTTGGTAGCCGGTTGGTAGCCGGTTGTTAGCCGTTGGTAGCCGGTTGTTAGCCGGTTGTTAGCCGGTTGTTAGCCGGTTGTTAGCCGTTGGTAGCCGGTTGTTAGCCGTTGGTAGCCGATTGGTAGCCGGTTGATAGCCGGTTGGTAGCCGGTTGTTAACCGTTGTTAGCCGGTTGTTAGCCATATGGAGAAAGCAGCGAAACAATTGCGAAAGACGAGAACAATACCTGTAATAGAAAATATATATACAGACCTCTCGACTCCAATGACGAGGACAGCACCTGCAATAGAAAATATATATACAGACCTCTCAATGATAATAATGATCAATTGTCAAACATGGATAATGATGATGAACAAACAGATTGTGAGAGTAGCGAAGATATGCTAGAAAGAGAGATTAGAGTCAACCCCAATGAACTTGTACATAATTTGCGCTATTATATCGAAGAGTGCGGTTTGACTAAAGAACATCGTGCCTGTAGTAATATTATCAACAAGCTACATGATATGGGAATAATTCAGTAACTTACCAATAATCTCCAGCAGTAGCCTTATTAGCTGTAGGCTTTATCGTGCCCCATCATCTTAACGTTAGGACTTCAGGCATTGAGTTTTTACATCTACTGCAGCTCGGCGTAGAGATAGATTCAAGAGAAGAAGAATTGAAACGACTTCTAAAATTCTCAGGCCATTATTAGATAAACATCTTGAAAAAATTCGCCAACTAAAATCCGAAATAACACACTACGACAACCAGTGTAAAATGGCTAAACAGTTTCAAAAAATGAACATTCAAGACAAATGGGATGGTGTATTTACGAATCCTCATCGATTTTCCGTAGCGAAGAATGGACCTACATCTACAAGAATTGTACCAATTACGTTATAATATTATATTTATTATATTTTAATATGCTTAATATATGTTTACTTGTCCTTGTTTGTTTTATTTCCTCTCTCCCTCTACCTTTCATGAATAAGAAAAACCAGTTATAAGACTTTACAAATCATTATGTACCTCATTCGTTTATAGACAGTGGTCTGTTGCTTAACAACAATGGTCGTTTTACGTTCCAATTTCATAATTTTAACTGCAGTACTACAAAATGTGTTGTACGTACATGATATACACAACGTACACGAAATGTATGTATGCTACAGAAATGTTAGCGAGAATGATACATGCCCACATACGTTAATTCAGATGAGACGTAATATAGTTAATGGTGGAAAGCTGAGGGTCTTCGGGGCGTCAATTCCGGAACATTCTAAATTCTACAAGTTGAGAATAACGTTTCAAAATAAGTCGATTGGAGATTTTGATACCTGGAGGTCATTACCTATTTTAAACTGCTCCGATTATGAAGATGTATACGCAGACGCACTCATCGTAGCGTCTGAAAATACGACAACAGATTTGAATACAATTTCTGGACTTATTTACTTTATAACAGTCGCTACAATTGTATTAATACTGAAGAGTATTGCAAAAATCATTCAAAAGTATTATGGTTAATGTAGCGAAAACAGCATAAACTCCACATTTTTACCGCAGTCCTCCAGATTGACTGGTATCAACAACATACGGTTCAGTAGCGCAGCTCCTTCAAGAATTACAACCCTACCACCTCCATTGTATAATATTCAAGTTGATATCAGGAAACAAAGGGACTAAAAACACAACTTTTGTTCTGTAAATTTAATCATTAGATGTCCAATTATTCTTCAGTATATCATAGTCAAGTGTAGCAATAGGTGCTTTTAAAGAGAGCGTAATGTCTGGTAGGAAGCCAATTGAATTAATGCCAAATTCCGTTCCTGAGGCTGAATGCTGGGGACCGCCTGAAAAGGTTTGCCGAATATGTCGAAAGAGAGAACGAAACGTTACTTTTCTACCTTGCACCCATGTGGAAGTCTGCAGCAACAGTTCGAATATGATATTAAATAACTATCCCATATACATCATGTATTACACCTACCTTATGCCAATAAATAGATATAAAAAAAATTCTCGTTTCTTTTTCATATACCTATCGAGTCAGGTTGGCCGAGTGGTTAAGGCGCCTTGTTTAAGCCTTGGTTCCCAAACGGAGCGTGGGTTTTCAAATCCCACACCTGACATTTTTAATAGAAATGTAATTGCCTCTTGTGAGATTTGAACTCACGACCTCCGGTTTACAAGACCATTGCTCTACCACTGAGCTAAATAGGCTCATGCTAGGTTTACTAGCAAGCCTACATATTAGGCTAAAATTTTTGCTAACACTACAATTATAAAGAAAATACCTAATATATCAGGTTACAATTTATACTAAAAAGCTGGTCTGAACCTGTAGAAAACAGGTCTGAACCAGTAGAAAACAAGTCCGGACCTGTAGAAAACAAGTCTGAACCTGTAGAAAACAGGTCTGAACCTGTAAAAAACAGGTCTGAACCTGTAGGACACAGGTCTAAACCAGTAGAAAACAAGTCTTAAATTGAGGCGACCTTGGCCCCAGAACCAGAGGTAGATGACCTTGACCCCAGATCACCAGAGGTCGATGACTTTGAAATGACCTTGACCCCAGACGACCAGAGGTCGATGACCTTGGTCTAGAATGATGTTAAAGGAATCAGGTTAAAGTTTCTGCTAAAAAACAGGTCTGAACCAGTAGAAAACAGTCTAACAGTCTAAACCTGTAGAAACTTGACCTCCAATGATGCAATACCAGATAAGAATGATGCAATGCTGTTTGGAGGTCATTAACCTCGAATGATGCAATACCAGATAAGAATGATGCAATGCTGTTTGGAGGTCATTAACCTCGAATGATGCAATATCGGATAAGAATGACGCAATGCTGTTAAAGGAAATAATATATCATGTTAAAAGATTATGCTAGCGTGGCAGTATTAAAGGAAATAGACTATCAAGTTGCAATTTTTGTTAACACTGTAAAATATAAAAACTGTATAAAGGAAATAAAATATCAGTTTACAATGATAAGAAACATAATAGCTGTATCGAGAACACCAACGGTATTTAGTCTGAGTGATTTCATCGAACGAGCAGGTTGTATGTAAACTGAGTGAAGTTTCCTCTAATTTAAGTGAAGAAGAAAATTACGATTATAGTAAGCCTCTCGATGATATTCTGGCTAAATATGAAGAAGCCGCACGGTGGGAGCAGATATACTTGCTTAATAATGTTTTTCCACTAATATCTAATGTTAACCTTTGGGCTACCAAGATATTTTATCAACGCGGACGACCAAGGTGGTACATTTTGTACCCCAAGTTTTTTTTTAGTTTGTGTGAAAAAATTCTACTTCATATGAAAAAAATACTAAATGGTGATGAAATTTGTTTTCTAGAAAATACGAATACTATAATAAACTTAAATCTATTTTAATTGCAACTGTTGCAGTAATTGACTTTTTTCTGCTAACCATGAGTTTTACAAAAGAAATTCTTCCACTTTTTATAAAAAAGCTTACACTTCTTGTCAATTCTTCTTGGGTAATAATGGTAGCGTCCAAATGTGCTTCTTGGGTTTGGCGGGATGGGTGCGTTTTCCTGAGGTGGCACTTGTCTCATAGCATCTATTACTCTTCTCGGTATACCTTGTAAATTTGTCATTCTTCTGGCTACATGTGGTTTTATGAGGTCAAATCCGACGTCGAGCTAAAAGAATCTTCTTTTGTTCGTTTGGTTTTCTTTCCAGTTTGGAAATTTCATTTTCCATAGTGCTTCTCCATATCCAAATCAAACTTACGTTTCAGCATTTTTAAAGATCGCAAATCTAAAGAAACGCACACTTTATAGGTTAAGAGAACAATAAAATTGCACTTCTGTTGTGGAGCACAGTTCAAGGTTACAGACATGTGATGATTTCGTCATGAACTGCATATGAACATATTTTGCAAAGCGAAAACACCAAACGCCAAGTGGTAACTTCCTGCATTCCAAAAAGCTAATAACAACTTACACTAGTCATATCAGGTTACAGTTTATGCTAAAAAACAGGTCTGAACCAGTAGAAAACAGGTCTGAACCAGTAGAAAACAGGTCCGAACCAGTAGAAAACAGGTCTGAACCTGTAGAAAACAGGTCTGAACTTGTAGAAACTTGACCTCGAATGCTGCAATACCAGATAAGAATAACGCAATGCTGTTTGGAGGTCATTGACCTCCCCTTACCGTGATTGAATTTTAAATTTACCACCGACTGGCCATGTGACGTCACTTCCATGCCGCCATGACACTTCTTGCCTGCCAACACCCACGCATCTCTTGCACAACGACAATGCCTACAAGAAGCCGCTGAAGGAGCGCGCCGAACTCGATGGACACTGATCATGTGGTGACTTTGACCGCAGGTGACCTTGACAAGACCTTGAGATGACCTTGACATGGCCTTGAGGTGACCTTGACCCCCCAGGTGACTGGCATGACCTCGAGGTGACCTTGACATGACATCGAGGTGACCTTGACATGACTTTGACATGGCCTTGACCTCAGGTGACTTTGACATGACCTTGGGGTGGCCTTGACCCCAGGTGACCTTGCCACGTCACTTCCTGGTCCAGAAACCGCCTATTATATCTACTGTGAAGAACATTTTCTTCTTAGGTCCAAACTAGTAATATCAAACTTTGTCAGTAGCGTATTGTATTGCTTATCTAATTCCGGATAATTTTCAACTTCTTTAAAGTACAAAAATTTTAAAAACATTCTCTGAATTCTTTCAATACCTACTGATTTTGTAACACTGATAATATGGATTCCAAATGATGCAATCATATTCTAACTTAGACCTAACAAACAAATTATATAATGTTTTTAAAATTGTAATGTTGCTAAAGTTTCTACAGTTTCTTAATATGAAACCATACGATTTTGCTGCCTCATTTATTTTAGTGAATATGTGTTCCCGAAAAGATAACTTATAATCAAAAAATACACCAAGGTCCTTAATGGTTCCATAACGAGAAAGTGCAATGTCAGTAATAACATATTAAAAAATAATAGGTAATCTCTACTTGGTGTAAGAAACAATTTTACATTTGGATATATTAAGAAGCAATTTGTTATTTGATTACCAAGTTTGCAAATTGGTTAAAGACTTCTGAAATATTAAGCAATCACCTATGGAATAAATCGATGTAAAGATTTTCATATCATCAGCAAATAATAGTTTATTACAGTTGTAACCCTTCCTTTGGAATTAATCCCTTTTTTTTTGGCTAGTTATCTTTTCAGTGGAGGCGTGGGTTCTTGCAACAGAAAACAAATTAACAAAACACAAGTAACAGATTTTAGGAAGTGATTTCTGTAATTTCTAAGTACCCTCAACCGAAAATTTACTTAGAGAACTATAATGAGGAAACCACTAAACATTCAAATTTCGTACTTGGGATTTGGGCCCTTGAAATAATGAGCAGAGCTTTCGAGAACAACTTTATTACGTGCTAGATACAGACTGGCGCACGTGAAGCACACAGTTGGTTTTATACCTGCGGTGTGCTTTTGTTGCATTTTTTTTTTGATAAAACAATAGAAAAACTACGTTACTTATACTACGTGATAAAACATAATGGGAGGCAAAAAATAGAAAAGCGTGATATTGAATCAATCACATGATTCCTCCCCTCTTGGATGGAAGTTCAGGGTTGACAGGAGTTGGTTCCTGGATATTCTGAAGTGGAGTGTTTGGCTTCATTGTCCTTTTTGGGCATATCAGCCACGACTTTATACTCTTCCGAAAGATGAAGAGGAGAAATATAATTACAGTTCCAATAAGGGTCCAGGTAAACCAGGTTGTCCATGAGATTGATGTCGGTTCAATTGATGCAGGGTCAGTCAACTGGACATCTTTTATTCTTTTTACCTCGGACTTATTTATGGTGTTGTCTAACGTAAGATTCGATAGCTTGAATTTTTTGTTTCTAGTAAAAATATTGTGGGTTTCTCCTTCAACCATGAGCAAACACTAGCACAGGTACAATGAAGGGCAACTTAAAGTCCCCACTAGTTGGGTTGCATCTATTCTATTATAGCGCGCCACCACAAATAATTACGGAATGTTTCGGACTGGGAGTGGGGTGTGGAGATATACTATACCGTGGTACCAAAAACTCTGATATATTCGATAGGGTAAATAATTAATCTGATACCAGTTGCATTTGATATTTTTTAAATATTATTTTATTAATGATATGTAATGTATTGTAACATTTTCTTGGTTAGTTAAATCATTATATTGAAGAATTTTTAAAAAATAAAATGTTATAAACCGTTTACTATTTTAACTATTGTTCACTACATCCACATACCTGCATATTTAGTGTTTTCCTGTATTAGAGATATTCATTTATAAATGTTGTCTTAAATCAATACAGACAGGGTGGACTAATAGTGATTATATTACTCCTATGTCATATACCTAGATAGAAAATACTTATTTTATTAGGGCATCGAGCGGTGCCTTAAGGGGGACATTTAAAAAATATTATGAAGTGTACGGAGTGTTTTGGAAGGCTGTATCAAACATGATTTATAAATGGGATGACCCATTTTTTATATTTCATATACACAAAATATTTCAGACAAAATAACTAATGTTTTCAAAAACGAATAATATATATAAATTTCAATAAAAATATAAAATAAATAATTTTATATTATCATATATCTCTATAAAGAGATTAATAAAAAACGTAATTGCGTTTGGTGCATAAATTATGTATTATAATTTGCTACTGATGCAGCTGTTGTTGTTATTGTGCAACAACTGCTNATGATGATGATGATGATGATGATGATGATGATGATGATGATGATGATGATGATGATGATGATGATGATGATGATGATGATGATGATGATGATGATGATGATGATGATGATGATGATGATGATGATGATGATGATGATGATGATGATGATGATGATGATGATGATGATGATGATGATGATGATGATGATGATGATGATGATGATGATGATGATGATGATGATGATGATGATGATGATGATGATGATGATGATGATGATGATGATGATGATGATGATGATGATGATGATGATGATGATGATGATGATGATGATGATGATGATGATGATGATGATGATGATGATGATGATGATGATGATGATGATGATGATCATGACGATAATCATGACGATAATCATGACGATGATCATGACGATGATCATGACGTTGATCATGGTGATGATGGTGATGATGGTGATGATGGTGATGATGATGATGATGATGATGATGATAATAATAATAATAACGCCAAGGGGTCTTGTTTCAAGTCACTGACTTCAGGGGAATAGCTGAGTGGGTGTGGCACCCCATAAGGAAGCTTTCCCAAGACCGTCCCTGCGTGGTGAAGAGCCACATCCTTCTCGAGGTGGCCCTGTTTAAACGGAACACGGCGGATCTACTGGAGTAAACCAGGAAAAAAAGAATCCGTAAGCTAAGGTGTTTGCCGTGCCGATGGATGAATGGCTCTGAGTTAAAGAGTCACAAACGGCTCCTCCGGACACCTGGCGACCTCCGGTTGAAAACAGCCCCTCCGTGATAAGCCTGCTCTGTCACGGTTGAGATCTTTTCAGAGCCCACTCGTGGGATTAGATGGCCTCTAGTTACACACAAACCCTGGAGACATTCACCTCCACAAATGTGAATGAAGATGGTGGTGGCCCATCCACAAAACCACCAGAAACCAGAACTCACAGTGATAAAGGAAAATTTAAGCCAGGAAGAAAATTCACAAAGAGTGGAGAGAAGGTGGAAGCAATTCCCCGGTTCTTGCTCTTAAAGAAGGTACAGGGAGATTTTACAGTTATTAGTCCATTTCTTATAGCAAAAGCATTATATGGTTTAGTTGGTGAAACAAAAATGGTGAATAAAACCAGAGAAGGTTTATTGATTGAAACAGTTTCAAATGCGCAATCCATGAAGTTATTAAATGTAAAAAAATTCCTTGACTTTGAAGTTGAAGTGACTCCGCATACATCGTTAAATACATCGAAAGGTGTTGTTTATTGTAGGGATTTATTAAACTGTTCAACAGATGAAATATTAGAAGGTTTAAAACATGAAGGAGTGCTAAACGTTCAGCGTATTAAAGGAAAAAGTGGAGGGACTCTTGTGGATACTCCAAATCATATTATTACTTTTAACAAACCTAAGCTTCCCAGTAACATCAAAGTTGCTTTTTACAATTTACCAGTCAGGCCATATATTCCATCTCCACTAAGATGTTATAGATGCCAATTATTTGGGCATACGGCATCACGCTGTACTCGTGAACAAGTCTGTGTTTGTGGGCAACCTTTGCATGAAGGTACAACATATCAATCACCTATTATATGTGTCAATTGTGGAGGACAACATTCAGCTCGAGCGAAATCTTGCCCCAAATATCAATTAGAAATGGCGATTGAAAGAGTTAAAATCTTGGATAAGATCACATTTGCTGAAGCAAGACGGAAAGATGAGACAAATACACCAATAGCTCACACAACTTATGCGCAAGCAACACAAGCTGACCAGACTGGAACAGAAGATAACATGCAGAAAATTTTATCACAGTTATCAGCTCAAATCGCAAACATAGTACAAACCACTCTTGAAAATCATTTAAAAGTTAGAACACAAGAATGTGTAAGGGAGCTTACAGTATCGTTGCCAACTATTGGAACAGCTGATGGGAGAGTCGCTACTCTTCCTGTTGCTTCACAGGAAAAAATAAAAAGAGAAGTAGCAATACGATCCGATGGTTCTTCATCTGGTGAAGAATTTCCTTCAGAAACCAGTGAGAATGTCACTGATTCAGCCAGTGGGCATAAAGCCAGGAAAAAGAAGCCTGGTTGGCCGAAAGGCAAAACAAGGAGTTCCAGTCGGAAAGACACTGGTTAATAAAATATTTCCTCAAACAAACAACAAAAACAACAAACAAAAAACAAAAACAACAAACAAAACAAAACAAAACAAAACAACTAAAAAAAAAGAAAAAAAAAACTAAAATGAATAACTTAATTCAATGGAATTGCAGAGGTTGTACACGACACTTACCTGAACTGCAGTTGCTTCTAGCAGAACACAGCCCCTCTGTCGTTTGTCTACAGGAGACTCACTTTAAATCGGACGATAAGTTTCAACTTCGGAATTATAACATACACAGAATTAATCTCACCTCAAACTCACATGCAAAAGGAGGAGTAGCAATAATAATTAACAAAAATTTAGCTGCACAGCAAATAGTCTTACGAACTGAACTTCAAGCTGTAGCAGTGAAAACAATAGGACCAGCTATTTTGACTATTTCTAGCTTATACCTACCAGAACACAATTGGAACAAGGAAGACCTATTGAGTTTAGTGAGACAATTACCTCAACCATACATAATAATGAGATATTTCAATGCTCACAATCCTTTGTGGGGCTCGGAACATAAAGACATAAGGGGGCAGCATATAGAAGATTTTTTGAATGAAACAGAAGCCGTTTTTATAAACACAGGTGAAGGCACATACCTCAACAGCAGAACGGGTAAATTCACATGCATTGATCTCACTTTATGCTCACCAACAATAGGGCCAAATCTCACATGGCTTCCTCTGGAAGATCTGCATGGAAGTGACCATTTACCGATAAAAATCATAAAAGAAGTTAACAACTCGGAAAAAAGGATACATAAAAAATGGAGAATTGATCTCGCCGATTGGGACGCTTTTAGATCCATTTTGAATTCTCCTTTAACTGAACAAGACACAACGACTAAAGTTGAGCAGCTAGCAAGGAACATACGTGAAGCTGCTGAATTAACGATTCCGAAAACAAAGGGAGTACTTTGCAACAAATCAGTACCTTGGTGGAATCAACAAATAGCTGACATCATAAAGGAAAAGTAATAGTAATAGTAATAAGGGAGTACTTTGCAACAAATCAGTACCTTGGTGGAATCAACAAATAGCTAACATCATAAAGAAAAAGAAAAGAGCATTACGCAAATTAAAGAAAAGCCCGAGCATTGAAAATTTAATACAATTCAAAAAGAGAAGAGCAGAGGCACGACGAGTAATATTGACTTCAAAGAAACGATCGTGGCAGGAATTTGTATCATCAATAAATTCAAATACGCAAACAAGTGAAGTATGGAATAAAATAAAAGCCATATCAAACAAAAGAAACTATTCAAATCTTATTTTCTAGAATACGACAACAAACTTATTTACAATAAAAAAGAAATAGCAGAGGCTTTAGCTTCACATTACGAAAATATTAGCAGTGATACCAATTATGGTGATGACTTTCTGATGCACAAAAATGCAACATAATGTGAAATAGACTTTAGTTCCGATAGAGACGAAAGTTACAACACACCCTTTACTTCAACAGAATTTGAACATGCCTTAAATGAATCTAGAGATGCATCCCCAGGAAAAGATGATATCACGAGAGAAAAGAAGATTTGCTTTCGCTATATAACATCATATGGAGTGAAGGCAGGTATCCCAGCCAGTGGAGAGAGGCAATTATTATTCCTGTCCTCAAAGATGGAAAAAATCCCAAGCACCCAAATAGTTGCCGTCTAATCTCACTCACAAGCAGCCTCAGTAAGGTCCTCGAAAAAATGATCAACAGTAGGCTTATGTGGCATCTAGAAACAAGAAATTTAATAAACAAACATCAGTGTGGTTATAGGAAGTATCACTCGACATCAGATCAATTGGTTTATTTAGAAAATGCCATCCAGAATAGTTTTTTAAATAGGGAACACTTAGTTGCTGTTTTTTTGACCTTGAGAATGGTTTTGATAAAACATGGAGGTACATTGTTCTAAAAAAAATGCATGAATGGGGTTTCAGAGGAAATCTTCCCTTCTTCATCCAGAGTTATTTACAAAACAGGCACTTCAGTGTCAGGATTGACGATGAAAATTCAACCACACGTACTTTGCAAAACGGAATTCCTCAAGGGTCGACGATTAGCGCTACACTAAATTCAACCACACGTACTTTGCAAAACGGAATTCCTCAAGGATCAACGATTAGCGCTACACTGTTCCTAATAGCAATTAATGATTTAACAGAAAATCTATCACCATCCGTACAAAAGTGTTTATATGTCGATGATCTTGTCATTTTTGCTTCAGCCAAATCAATAAACAGCTTAAATAAAATCTTACAAACATCCATAAACAAGATAACTGAAACAGCCGAAAAGAGCGGCTTCAAATTCTCTAAAAACAAAACTCAATGTGTACACTTTTGTCGACTTAGAAAACCACATCGAGATCCGCTTTTAAAAATACAGAACACTTGTATAACGCTGACTGACTCATACAAATTTCTTGGGGTACACTTTGATAGGAAATTAACCTGGCACAAACATATAAACCACACTATTACGATCTGCAGGAAAACTCTAAATGTCATGAAATGTGTAGCAAATATAAACTGGGGAGCAGACAGAACAACTTTATTAAGGCTTTACCAATCTCTAGTGCAAACCAAGATGGACTATGGATGCTTGGTTTACTCATCTGCACGTGAATCTCTACTAAAGAAATTAGACCCATTACATAATGCAGGTTTAAGATTAGCGTTGGGAGCTTTTCGCACCAGCTCTATCACCAGTTTGTACTGTGAAAGTGGTATTCTACCTCTCAAAAAGAGAAGAGAGACACTGTTACTAAATTATGCTATAAAAGTATGGTCACAGCCTACTCACATAAATTGCACAAATGTTTTTCATAACAACATTAGTGACACTTACTCATCTAGGCCTACAATCACCCGACCAGCTGTAATTAGAACAAAGGAATTAATGCACAAACTCAACATTTGCTTTCCGCTTGTCTATTCACTAAATCATGGAGAGACTCCACCTTGGATGACTCCAGAAAAAACTTGTCGTTTAGATTTGACAAAATACAACAAATCAGAAGTATGCAAAGACACTTTTCTAAATCTATTCCACAGCATACTAGCTGAATATCACTTTCCTATGTGTATATATACAGATGGATCGAAGACTGAGAATGGAGTAGGAGCTGCCTTTTCTATAAATGGACATACTCACTTTTGGACTTTGCCTAAAATCTCTTCAATTTATACTGCCGAACTATATGCAATATGGCAAGCATTACGCTTTTGCGAATACACGAATGAAAAAATGCACATAATCTGTTCCGATTCGTTAAGTTCGCTCCAGGGCATAACAAATTCTTATTCGGAAGATCCTCTAATTAGAACAATAAATGACCTTATAGCTTATCTCAATACAAAAGAAAAGTCGATTATTTTTATTTGGTGTCCTGGACACATAGGACTTTTTGGAAATGAATCAGCAGATCACGCAGCGCGTACAGCGACTTCTGAAGATATTACACACATCATCCCGATTCGATCAAGTGATATTAAATCATATGCTGCAACCGAAATTCTTTCCGTCTGGCAAATGGAATGGAATAACACCAGCAGCAAATTGAGAGAAATTAAGAAAAATGTAAACAAATGGAAAAACACACATCACTTCAGCAGAAGAGAAGAAGTAGTTCTGACCAGGTTGCGTATTGGGCACACGCGTCTCACGTCTCTTCATTTGTTGGTGGGAGAAAATGAACCGGGTTGCCAAATTTGCAATGTGCCACTAACTGCAAAACATCTTCTAGAAGAATGCACAAATTTAACGCATCTCTTTACAAATTATAATCTACCCAGAAAATTAGAGGAACTGCTATCACCAGACATAAATAAAAACAGGAAATTAATCGACTTGCTGAAGGAAGCGCAACTCTTCAGACTTATATAGAATATATCTAATCTTCTTTCTTTTTACCTTTGTCTTTAACCTAATGTTTTAATACCAGTTAATCCGTGGCCCTACCTGTTATTGTAAAACTTTTAAAAATGCCCTGAGAGGCCCCTGGGTGAGAAGTGTGTGTCCATGTTCGACCCCCCCCCCCAAATATCATCTCCTATCCCCCTCCACTTTTCCTAACTTTCTTCCCTCTCATTACTTCCACTTCACCTAATATATTTCATCAACTTTGTTGATTATGAAAATGTGCGGCTAATGACCTTAGTAGTCGACGCCGCAAAATAATAATAATAATAATAATAATAATAATAATAAT